TCTCTCTCTCTCCGAAAGTAATAAGCACTTAAATAATACAATTCAATTCCAAGGTCATCGCAGAGGGATTGGAGCTTTTTTCCTTCAAATTGTTTCCCGTCGTCAGTTATAACTGAGGGGGGCATGCCAAATCCACAAACAATGAATTCTCATAGAAATTATATTATCTTCTACTCGGTTATTGCAACCAAAGATTTCACTTCTACCCATTTTCTGAATTAATCTACGACCACCTACTCTTACTTAACTTCTTCTTTTCTGATGGGTAGATCTATTCCCCACTTCGCAAAAGGCTAGGGGCTGAAAATTGACTTCAGCGGTTGTGCAGGCGGGTTGACATTGGACGCAAAGACTTGACACTTCTCGCATTTTCGAACGAGATCTATGGCATCTGGCTAATGTTACCCTTTTCTAAGGATCTTATGGGACAGTGTCGGGCCCCCCGAATGAGTTTCACACTGTAATGCGCCGTTTATTTATGAATTATTGGAAATTATTTATTATTATTATTGATATTATTTATTTATTTATTTATTATTATTATTATTATTATTGCTGTTATTAAATGTCTAATTGTCATCAAAAGTTTAAATGCCTATTATTAATATTATTATTAAATATTGTGTGTATTAAATATATATAGTATCCGGTTTTATTTTTTTATTGTCGTGCGATGAACCGGCCGAAATTTGTGAAACCCGCGAGCCCCGTCCAGCGAACCGGTCAAGCCCGCCGATCCGGCGCCCTGCCAAAAAACCAAACCCTCTCTTGTGCGTGTGTGTGTGTAACTTGAGGGAGAAGAAAGAGAAATTAAACCCTAGCCCTTATGTATTAAAAACGGGCACTCGAAAAATCCTTTCTTCTCCATTCGTCCCTTACGCGCAGCTTTTTCCTCTCCCATCTCTCACGATCTCGTCCTTCACGCAAGAGCAGAGAAAGAAAAATTTTCCGTCTCTTTTATTTTTCCCTTTCCCTCACATTAAGAAACCGAGCATCACCTCCTCCTCTCATTTCCCGTCGCCATAACCGTTTTCCTCAGCCACTCCTCTCGCTGCGACAGAGCCGTTCACGTCGACAAACAGTCGCCATCTCCTCTGGCGAGTTCATCCTCTGCGAGTTCTCCCTCCGTCGAGCATCATCACGCGGCCACCGTTTGCTGCTCCTCGCCGTGACCTAGCCGCGACCGTCATCTCTGCGACACCTCCTCCGCGACCCCGTCACGCCGCACCCTCCGCAGCGACTTGTTTGCCGTCCACGACCAGCGTCTGCAACTCTTCCCGGAGACCCTCCTTCCTTCGCGCAGACATTCACCGACAAAGCCCTCGACGACGAGCCTGCACCACCGCGAGCCTCCTCCTCCGCAAGCCATCGCCACTGCTCCTCCTCACGCCGTCATCCGCCGCTGCTTCACCGGCGAGCCGAGCGTGAGCCGCCGAGCATCCACCGCGAGTCATTTTCGTCGTCTCGTCAACTCCCGTTCGATCCCTTCTCGCACGTTTCCCGAGAACAGTATCGAGACTTGATCCCTCCTACGTTATTTACGTGTTTATTAGAGGTGTTGAACATGTTCTATGAATTAGTATATGCCTTATGATTTTATGTGTACGTTTGGTTCAATATGATTATTGTGTGTAGTCGATCTCTTCAATTTTGAGAAATCGAATGAGACCTCGTAAATTCATGTTAAGGATGTGGAAATTGGAACTTAGGATTGTCCTTCACACAATGGTTTTGACCTTGTGTCAAATTTAATTGTATATTGGGAGATATGAATTTTTGAAATCTATATTGCTGCCGGAATTTGTAAAATTCGTGATAAATTGTATGCTGCTCCAGTTAATGTAAATTTTTGTGTAAGATGTCCTTTGTTGATTATACATGTCGTGTAAAAATTTCAGATTTAAATACTAACTGTAACTATTTTAATTAATTGTTTTGGTTTCTGGTCAGAATATTGTAAATTGCATATAAAATCGATTTGTGCTCCAAAATGGCTAAATTTTTGGTATGTTGTTTTTCTGGCATATAAAGAAGTTGTGTAAAATGTTCATAATTTTTGGACTTCGTTTGCTAGGGTTAAAAATTGTTTAATGTATTCTGCAGAACCGTTATTTAATTATGATAAATCGACCTGATGTTGTAAATTGCTGAATTTTTATGTCTGGGCTTATTTTGTGAAGTTATACGTGATGTTAAAAGATAACACTTATTTGAGTTCATTTTGGTTTTGTTTTGTTGAAAATTTAAATTCTGCAGAATTTTGTTTTAATTTTTAAAATTCGTGTGTTTAATGTTAATAGCTGAAATTTGTATATATATTGTTATTCACATGTTGTAGCTTCTCGTGTATAAATTTCAAGTCATAGTTCGTTCATTAGGTCCGGTTGTTAACTTATGTTCGTGTTTGCTGTAAACTTGTTTAAATTTTATAAAATCGTGTATTTGAGTTTGGGGCTGAAACTTGGTGAGTTTACTAAGTTCAGTTGGGTGAATTTCGTGTTAAAATTTCAGAGCCTAACTCGATGGTTTGCTGGACCATCTTAAGCATGTGCAAATCTCGGCAATTATTTTCAAATAGTAGTTTTCGTTAAATATTAGTAGCCGACTCGTTATGTGGTTCCTTGTGACTTGTTTGGATTGTCCATTGTTTGAAATTGTGTGAACTCCCCTATTTGGGTTCGAGTCTAAGTCTATGAGTTCCAATGTCTACAGGACTCCACGAACAACTTAGTCGAATCAAGTTCGACTAAATCTAATTGTGATTTCCTTTTTAGGTTAAGATAAGGTGTTGATTTTAGTATCTTGACTTAATGTAGGTGTTTTGAAGTGTTGACCTCACCCTGCTTTCGAGACTTGTACTAGTGATTATCGCGTCAATCAGGTGGGTACATTTGTTGTATCTATAATTATCACACTTATTATTTCGTATAAATGTTTCGTTCGAAAATTGTTGTATGCGTAGAACCCTAATCTAAGTGTCCCGTTTGTTAGTGCCTTTGAGGAATGCATAAACAGTGAGAGGTCACCGGCCCGTAGTCGATTCGGAGAGGTGACGCCCTGGTCCGTATGATATAGCTCTACTGTCTCCTGGAAAGGATCCCAGGCCCGTAGTTATATTCGGTGATGGGAAGGTTTTCAGTTACTTCCTTGTCGTGTTGTGATCGAAAGGTTGTTGTATGTACATAGGAGGTTTACGATAGGGCCGTGTAGGGAGTTAGACCTTAGATTCTATGCATACTGTATAATGTGTTATTGTTATAAAATTTTATATGGGATAAACTATGCGATAATGGTGAGCTTGATGGTGATGCTCACCCCCGTTATTTTTCTGTTGTTTCCTCTTCCTTTTTTTAGGTTGAGCTGAGCTGGTGGCGGTGGCGTAAAGACGAGCGGGTGTTGGTCATTGGTTGATGATTTATTTTTTTATATATATGCTTTTGTTGATTGTCGAACTGTTATTATTTCCTTCTTTGTTTTGGATACTTCGATATTGTTGGGTTGAACCTTTGAATTATGTTTTTTAACTTTATGGTGGTTTTGGAACCTAATAAATGTTTGGTTTAATTTTTATAACTGTTAGTTATGCATGTGTAGGTTTAATCGATATGGTTGTATGTTTGTTAAATTGTTCTATAGTTAAGTAGCGCCCGTTGAGTTTCAAATTTAATTTGAGATTTTGCGAAAAATAAACTCTGATTTTTATAAATAAATTCGGTAAATCCTTTAAAATAAAACGGGGCGTTACACACACACCCGTTCGTGGATCTCTTTCATTACGTATACAAACTCCTTATCTAAGCATTTTAGCAACGGTGCTAAAATATTTCCGTTTATACAATATGTCTTTTACAATTGTAAACCAAGTTGCTCGGGTACATAGTTGTCTCGCCTCCCGTGGGTCGGGGGCAATGTACTTGTCTTTATGTAATATTTCACTGGTTGCATCCAGCTCGGGTTGTCCAGCTGAGCTATTGACTCGGCGGTCATTAATTGGTTATTGGCAACAACTGTTAGTCTTGTTGCCTGACCTGGACATATTCCACGTTCTCCATGCCTACACTTGATGTTAGGCGAGCCACGACATCTGCTTCCAAATTCTCCGATCTGGGGGTTTGTTCTATTCAGGACTAAAAATTGGACATCTTCTTCTTTACTAGACCGTGGCTAGTCTTTGCTCCTTAACCTCAAATTCTCCAAAGATTTTCTTAACCATGAGTATTGAATCCGAGTAGAAAATGGGTTAAGTTCATAGACTCAACTAGTGCCAACACGGATAGCAGGGATTTGTATTCGGTCTCATTGTTAGTGGCATCAACGAGATACCGAACAGAGTGACAGAACAGTCGCTCTTGCGGATCAACTAGAACGACTCCCCCGCCTGCTCGATTTACGCTGGAAGATTCGTCCACATACATCACCCACGGGTCATAGTCAAAATCTCATCAATGCCGGGAGTGAATTTAGCTATGAAGTCCAATAGGACCTGCGCCTTAATCGCCACCCGAGGTTGGAAATGAATGTCGAACTGACCCAACTCGACAACCAATTTCACTATCCGACCTGATGTGTCCGATCTATGCGAAATTTGCCTCGACGAGTAGGCAGTCAAGACAATTATCGCATACTCGAGGAACTATGGTCGCAACTTCGTGCAAGAGTTACCAAAGCGAAGGCTAGTTTCTCTATTGGTGGGCAGCGCAATTCGGCGTCATGCAAATCCTTGCTCACATAATAGATCGAGTGTTGGTTCAAATTTTCCTCTTGTATTAGAGCTTCGCTTATGGTCGTGTCCATGACTCCCAAGTACAAATACAACATCTCCCCGAGCTTGGGTCTTTGCAAAATAGGAGCTTGGCCTAAAGTCGTCTTCATACTTACCAAGGCTCTTTGGCACTCAGAGGTGCATTCAAACTTACTGTTCTTTATGGCTTCAAAAAAGGGCTTGGACCGATCTGTTGACTTTGACACGAACAAATGCAAATAGCTGACTTTTGAGTTTTGCGACAATGATCAGCTTAGGTGGCCAACCAAGCTTCAAACATTGTAGGTTCAAGTTGAATTTGATGAGACTAGTTTACAATGTTTATAAGTAATAACCCAAAAAAAGAACAGATGATTCAAAAAGGAGTGTAGGAATATGGAAATATCACAATGTCATGCTTCCACTACTGTCATTATAAAATTGTACTGTCAAGATGCAATATTCTAGGCAAAAATTTAACTACTCCTAGATCCTACTGGTTTAGGATTTTTGTCAACAATAGAAGGACTGGGTCGGTTGTTTTCTGACGTCTTTAGGGGCCTGCGGTACCATAGGAACATGAACCATAAAGTCCTCCATAAAGCCCCATTTGCAAAGTGCGGGATTAAAATACGTCCCCAGTACGGGTAATAAGGCCCCGGAAACTTGAGCACCGTAAAAAATATTACAAGAGCTATCAGATGCCAGGGGACTTGAGCAACATTCTGCAATGACATGAGAGAATAATATCAAGCTCAGCAAACAAATAAGTGGAAAGTATATAGCTCAAGGTACATGAAAATATAACTTCTCAAGAACCTAAAAACTTTATTTTTCCCTTTCGTTATGGTGTATTACATAGGGACTTCAAAATAAGAGATGTCTAAAGCAAATAGAAAATCAATAATAGAAAGAAATGAGATAGAGTGTACTTCTACAAGCTGTCCAACTGACTTTGAAAATAACAGTTCACTGTTTAGATTTTATTCCATCTCACAGGTCGCCACAACCGAGGTTGGCCATATAGAAACTGCTGATGCCACAAAATATATCGCAATTCAACCACAATTCTACAAAATAATGCCAATGGAACCAATTTTTCGCCAGGCTATTTGTTATATTTAAAGACTGAGGGAGGTGAGATGAACATAAAATGTATGAGAGATATAAATGTGAAATGTAAGATGGAAAGTTGGTAGCAGTTAACGTATTCTAGATAAGAAATTGATGAAGTCAGCAGTTCCTATCAACCCAGCCAATGTCAGGAGCAAAATGTATAAACAGATTTTAGCCTTTTCTTCTAAAGAAAGAAAAAG